TCTCCCTCTCTGCCCCATCTCTTCATCTTCCCTCTTCTTCAAACGCCTTCTGCAACCTCTCTGCCCTACGCTATGGTTTCCAGAAGTTGTAACTCCATCCCAGTAGCCTCCCAGTCCATGATTAAGTTTAAATACAGTCCATGCATAGATTTAAACAAAGAAAAAAAAACAAGCAAATAACATGTTTCAACAGACTTTTCAAGCATGCAACACATACTGACATATTTTAGTTTAAGCAAGAACAGAGAAAATTTATAATTGATTTAATTAATCCTAGAACTGTTTAGGAATGCAAAGAACACGAAGCCTAAGGGAAAGAGTAAGGACATAACTTGCCTTACACCGACGTCCGTCTATAATCTCCGATGAAACCTCTGTTTCTTCATTTGGTTATTTCCCCAGACGTCTCTAAACCTTCTGTGTCTTATTATGGCGTAATATACTTCTAAAACCCTAGGCAGACACCGTAGATGAGTATTTATAAGCCATACTAATCCTAGGCTCTCTCTTTACCCTAATTGAATTACACGGCCCATAGATAAAACTAGGTTAAAACTTATGTTGGCTACTTATGTGTATACTATAAATACAACCAACCCTAACAGTTACGTTAACAACCAAAAATAAATTACATTTAATTAAATAAATTCAAAATATTAAATCAATACTTTAACACAATTAATTAAAACAAAAACAATTAAATAACAATTAACATAATAATACAATTAAAGCAAAAATTAAAACCATTAAATAAAACAACTAATTTAAATTAATGAAACAAACACAAAGACGCTTAAACAATTAAAAATCTAAATTTAAACAATAAAATAAATGTCAGGACTATCCTTTTGAAATTAGGGGTATTACAACTTATGACTAGAGCAACCTTTTAGGTTGTAGGAACCTTTTTCCTTACCCCCAGTGAGGTGAAGGCGGTATGAGCTTGAGTTGTTACGTGAATAGATTTGGCGGATTTAACGGAATTTACTTTTACCGCATCGTGTTGCCTTTTGGCAGGAACGGATGATTTGACCATGCTCCGCATCATTAAACTTGCAGAGGTATTTGTACCACTTGACGAAATTGTAACATTCTTGCCACCTTTTGTGGTGGTAATGATGTTGTCCGTCACGACTGTGATGTCCTTGGGAGTATTCTTGTTCTTCGTTTGAATCTTGTTGGAAGTCATAGACTCTGACGATAAATTTGTTGAGGATTTGATGTAGGAGAAAGAGATGAGAGACAGAGGATGTCTCACCGGGCGTGCCAGAAATTTGTACGCACAAATTTTGTAGTCTACGAATAAAGAACAAAATAGGGAGCAAAAATAATATTTTATTAAATTAAAAAAAATTGGAGTATAATCTTCTGTAATATTCTTTACAAAGAATAAGGTCCTCTGATTCGATCTCCTTTTTTTTGGTTGGTTGGATCCAAGGGCTACACGAACTTGATCTTGAATCACAGTGGAATTTGGATGAAGACAGCACGATTTGATATGCTTGTTGTTGATCACCGTGGAATTTGAATGAAGAACGGCATGATTTGATGTGCTTATTGTTGATCACCGTGGAATTTGGATGAAGAACGGCACGATTTGATGTATTTGTTGTTAATCACCGTAGAATTTAGTTAAAGAACGGCACGATTTGATGTGCTTGTTGTTCTTCGCTTTTGGGCAGAGTTTCTGTATTTCTCTCTGGAATTCTGGATTTTTGAATTCTGAATTTGTCTACCCTCTGGATTTCTGAGTCTCTCAATTTTAGACCTTCTGGATTTCTGATTCTCTGAATTTCTGGACTCTGAATTTGTATCCCTTCTTTCTTCCTCCAGACCTCTATTTATAAGCTTCTTAGATCCATAGGATGATGACACGTGTCCTCTCCTGAAAAGGAAAAAAATCATAACTGGGCCAGAACAGTTATATTATGATAATTATCCTTAACAATAATTATTCTAAATATATTTTATTAGGAATAATTATCTTTCCATTTAATCATCTGGACTGGGTTAATTAAATAATTTAAGTGGACCAAAATTGGGCCAATTAAATAACTTAATTAAATATTAGACCCATATGATGGGTCAATTTATCAAAACTAAAGCCCATTAAAATTTTAGTGTCTACACCACATAAAAATTATTCTTAGTCACATAAGGTCCTATTCTTAAAAAAAAATGAGAGTGCGATAAAATTTTGGGACCAACATCGGTGACCATTTAGATTCCGATGTGAAGTTTACAAAACTTGTGTTCAAAGATTAGGCTTTTCAATTGTTGTTCAATGACTATATGACAAGCTTGCTAGAACAATACCATTTCATTTTATTTTTGGATTGTTGTGTTAAGCCATGTTTGAAAATATTTAATCGAAATTAAAAATGCAAAAACTTTAATTTAAACTTTGAAGGTGTCTTTAATTTTTCTCTAGGTATTAATAGTAGACATATATCAAGTGATTCTCCTATTTTTTTTTTTTTTTTCAAGCTCTTTTTTCATACTTGACCAAGTAACTTAGTATCAAATATGTCCCTTCTAGGTGATATATAAAGATAGCTTGTTTCTTTTATATATCATGCATTTTAATGGTTTGAAGGCAATGTAAGCTATATTCAGCTGCATGAAATTTGATGAAATTGGAGAAAATTTAATTCAATATTTTGTAACTATAATTTTGAACTAAATTTTTTTTTTCAATTCCATCAATTGCAATTCCGAAACTCCAATTCCGAACGGTCAAATTAAAAGTAATAATAATAATAATAAAAAATTCTTTTTTCTGCAATCTTTCTATTTTTCTGTTTTATATGATAACATGTTGTGGATTATTTGAGAAGGGTGTCTTTGCTTGTAAGTAATGGTAATGACTAGAGATATCTACCCCAAGTTTCCTGAGTTATTATAATGTGCCAAATATCTTATATATTATCGTATATAAATATCCGAATTTACAAAAAAAAAAAAAAAAAAAAAAAAAAAAGTCCAAATTTTTTACTGTATCTGATGCTTGAACATGCAAATTTTTTTTTTTTTTTCCGGGCGACTCTAAATTTTTCGCACCATAATGTTCCACGCCTTAATTAATAAATAATTATATGTGTGTATATATATATATATTAATTATATGGGGCAAGTGTTAAGCAAACTAATAATTTAGTCTGTTCAGGACCAGACAAACTAAAGGTGTCTTGCCCTACTATTTACTCTCCACAACCTATACGTGTCCCTAGATATCTACACCTTTTGGGTAAATAATAAAATTTAATTCAGTAAATGTCCCTAGATATATATGATGCTCAAGGACTTAAATTTGGTTTGGTGCACGTTCATTCACGTGGATACATTCATGACCAACCAGATACATTAATATGGGTCTCACATGATCATATAATAATATATTCAACATTACATCTTGAGAAGCATTTTTCATTGAATTATGGTAAATAATATAAATAAATAAAAACTTTCTCTCACAATTGGTTGAACAGTAATATATATATATATATATATATATATATATATATATTCGAATGTTAAAAACAACAACAACAATAATTTTGTGTAAGATGGTTTGCTGTACGTGGGATGTAAAAATTGTTAAATAAAATAAAGGTGGAGTTTACATGCAAAACTATACGTAATTAGTCAAAGCCATGCTTTGTTAAATGGTAAAAGCTAAATTATCAAGCGTGAGAAAGCAATTCAAATCTTGAAATAGACGTGTTAACTAATTAGGTTAGGTTTGCTTGTAAATTGTAATCTTCATTATCTGTATAACTACTTTGTTTTAAATGAAAATGAAACAGTGGGTCTGACTGAAGAGACTAACGTTTTGCACAGTGGTATATTAATATCAGGGTGCAATGGCCATCTAAAACACATTATTGTTTTCATTTAACACAAAACGACGAAATTTAAAGTGACCAGCAAGTGGATTGATTTTTGTCCGTATAATCATGGTAAAATCTTTTTAATTAGATGCATATTTAGACATTTTCGTCATTGCGGGGTTGAGAAGGATCAAGTATACGCAATTTTACTTTCGCATAGATAAAGATTGAATTTTTATTTTGAACCCGTGACTTCCCTATCACAATGGGACAAATTTACTGAACAAATTTTGGGTTTTATTTAGTATATTCCTCCCATCACTCTCAACTATTGAGGACCACTTTAAAGAAGGTTAAAGTTAGGTTTGCTTTTCCTGATAATGTGAGGACATGTTGAAGTAATTAGTGAGGGATAACACTTAGCTACTCACCGGTGAGTAGCTTCATCTTACTCACCTTTTGTGTGTTCCAATAATAATTTACTACATTAGTTTTAATAAAAAAAAATAGTCCACGTATATTTTTCGAATCAACCATTGAATAAATGTGAATTTTTTTTTTTTTTTATTAAAGCTGATGTGATAAATTATTATCAGAACACGCAAGAAGTGAGTAGGGTGAAGTTACTCACCAAGTAGCTAAGCATTATCCATTAGTGAGGCTGTCTAAGGGAAACATATATGTTATCGAACAATAAACCTAACTCGGTTAATTGGTAAATAAGGAAGTGAGAGTTGATGTTTTTCCTTTTATTTATCCAAAGCACCATAATTTTGGTTTATCTTATAACAAAACTATGGATGATGACCTATAAACACAATTAGCCAAGAAAAAAGATGAACGGAAATTTGCATTTTAAGTTCTGTATGAGAAATGTTCCAAGTAGGAGTTTTCTTCCACCTTTCATGGCGCGAGGAATGAGAGAAAATGATGTATTTCTTTTTCCTCCCTCCTTCTTTTTTTTTTTTACTCATCTTTTCTCCTGCCAAACACGAGAGAAGATTTTGAAATTATTTCTCTTCTATTTTTTCTGTCTTTTCTCTGCTCCTTTTTCCCAGCACATCATTTTATTTGAAATGACGGTGTCTGCTTCTTTCTCTCCTTTGACAATGTAATTAATAGCAAAAAATAAAGGAAAAGGAGTGTCAATTTTTTACAGGAGGGAAAACAAAAAAAAAAATGAGATCATTTTTATTATAAAAAATCAATCAAAAAACATCAAAATCGTTTTCTAGTTTCAAAAGTGAACTGTGATACTAAGATTCGTGCTATACAACAATATGGCTTAAATTACAATAAGAGAGGAGTTTTGTAGGGCAGTGTTTTCTATCCCTTCCCTCTGCAACATATCAGCAATCAAAACACTTGAAAAGAAACAATGTTTTATGATTGATCTGAAGCAGTATGAATATTAATATAACTCCCAGCTTGACAAGGCCACTTTGGGAGGAAACTTTATCGGGCAGTGTTCAGAGACGAACTCAGTCCCTGGATCTGCAAACATGAAAATATAATACGATAAAAACAACATTTACTTCTACGTAGTAATAAAGAAATAATACACAGTATTGCTGCTACACAAGTACCTGATTTACAAGCATATTTACTTGTTCTCTGTACATCTCTTTCAAATCCACAATATCAGCACGAAGTTCCTCCAGCTACACAAAACTCCAACTTTAGAATCTTACAAGTGAATTAGAATAAGATGCTTTCCAAATGGTTATGAAAATATAAAACTACTAGTATTGTTACTACTACTACACGACATAATTTATTCTTAAATTAGCATTGTGGAAAACTCTAGTCATTTCGCTCTCATTGAGGAAATAATTACTTACAAATAGAAGCATCTTTTTTTAAATTTCTACACCATAGAAGATGGCCTAAATTGCAAACCTCTCCAGTGTGATCCTAAATTCAATTTCTCATCTAACCTTTGCTCCAAAACTCTCAATAATTATTGCTTAAGTGAAAATTTTAACTGCAGTTAAAGAAGAACAAAAGAGGAGGCCAGGAGGCAACTCAACAATTCAATCTCAGGTGAAGCAAAAGTCTCCCATCGCTCTTCACTGCCTATAATGCAAATAAAGACTATATCATAGCTGTTCCTATACATGGTGGTTCTGATCTGATTAAATGGAAGCATGGAAGGTTATGTTTCAAGTCAGTATGGAATATTTGCAGGATGCAGAGTGCTTAGGTTGAATGGTGTAGGCTTGCTTGGAGGTTTTGCAGACCTAGAGCAGCAGTGACGTGCTTTGATTTTACAGAATGCCATCCTGCAGAGAAAGGGATTGCCTCTTCCATCTATCTGTCATTGTTGCTATGGAAGTCTCGATTCTGTGGAGTTCTTTGTCAGTTTGCTAGATCAGTCTGGGATACGTTGTTTCATATGCTGCACCTCTCTGCTACTCAATTTCAGAGCATCTCTCACCTGGTACAATGGTTTTTGTTGCAGACTAGATCAAAATCCCAAAAAGCTAAATTCCTATAGTGCCTTTTTCCTACCCCATGGACTATTTGGACACAACGGAACCTGGCACTACATGAGGGCTCCAAAGAAAGTGTCAAGGAGGTGGTTCATATGATCCTTTTGGAGTGCATGCACCTGCTAGGGCTCCAGCTCCAAGACTTCATTTTTTGAGTGCATGCACCGGCTAGGTGGTTTACCTCTTTCAGTTGATGTTTAGGCTATTATATTGTTTTCTGCTCACAATAGGCTGTTTGCTGTTTGCCTTTGTTTTCTCATTGTACTGGAAAAGTTCTTATTCATTTAACTCTTTTGTTAGTGAAGGTTTGCCGTCACTTATGTTTGTAACTTTTTAGTTTCTATTTTAATAATAATAAAAAATAAAAATAAAAAAATAAAAAAACTGAAAAATATTGCGTGCTGATTTCTTTTCCGTTTCTACAAGTCAAAAACCAAGCTTGTCATTATCTCAGCACGAAATATATCATCTCACTTGAAATTACAACACTTAACAGCTGAAAAGTGAATCATTCCCACAATTAAAGCAGATCTTGTATCAATCATTATGTATATATATACATATATATAATGGATAGCTTCCATCTTCTCATATCACTTGGTTTCTAAGTTCACTGTGTATTTAGCAGATGCGAACTCAATAAAATCATAATGGTTTAAAACCAGAAAGTAAAAATAAAAAAAACTCAGATATGAAGAACTCTGGGGTACATGAGAATCCCCTCAGAACCTACACAACTGTTGGCTCATTGTCTACTCAGAATTGCAGGGAGGTAAGAGTAAGACAGAGAGGATATGTCTGAAGTTAGGAAAGCTATGTCGAATGCTTCTAGGAGACAAGCTCCATCATGTTTATGTGGTATAAGAAGATTGTTTCATTGTTCAAAACAATTTGTATCATCCTCCAAAACACAAGAAACTAACTGCCTTTTTTCTGTTTTAGGAGGCTGCTTTCCAGGAAATGGGCAAGCTGACCACATCTAATTAATCTAATGTGAAGTACCTCTATAACGGAGCATACTGACATCACAGTTCATATTGATACATATATTTCAAAGCTGGTTGGCCATTGTAACAAACAAAATGATGTGAAAATATATGTACCTCCTCATCACGTTCACCCATTAGCTCCAGTGCTGAAGAGTGCCTCCGTCTTAGTGCTTCTAGCTCTGCCCGAATGCCAGGCAGCATGGCAGCCTCTGTCCGTAATTTATCACACTGCAACCAATGTAGTAAATTTTCAGATAATGACATGAGAGATAATCAAACTGATAATAAATAGAAATTCACCTGCTCGGTCATTTTAACCAACTCCTCAGCAAGAGAATGACGAATAGATTCCATAGATGCCTGGAGTGAATAACAAGTCAACAATAATTTGTGCAAGTTACATAATAATAACAGAATGAGTGAAAGAGTATGCTTATGAGTATAAAAATTAACAATTGTCCTGTCACTAAAAAGAGCACCACAGACGCAGACCTGCAATTCACTTGGGGAATCAGGAAAACTACCGAATGAATGCATGCAGTCAAAGTAACGGTTAGTGCAACATAATGATATTCCATACCAATCGGGACATGTAAGATGCAAGTTCGCCCTCCTTCTGACGAAGGGTAGCTTCAAAGGCACTTGGTGTCATGCTCTTCATAAAGTACGGACTCATGGCTGTCTCTCCAGGATTTCTTCGTTCAGATAAACTGTCAGACGAGTCTAAAGATGCTTGCAGAAAGAAACTCTCCTCCATACTACCAATGCTGCTAGAACTTGAGAGTTTGCGGCTCAAGTTTCCTGTACAAAGTTTTTATTAAATGGTGGAAAAGGTAAGAAAGAGCATGCACATCAAACAAAATAAACCCTTGTTACCATTTTCAAAAGCAGATTTGTGCCTTGTTATAGGAATTTGATCAGGTACGGCAGAAGACTGAAGGCGGACTGTCCTCTCTAGTTCCAACCGAGCAGCTTTCTCCCGATCTACCTCCTGTTAATGATCAAGAGCATAATTCAGGAAATTTGTATGTGATTGACAATATACAGTATTAACAGAAAAAGGGACAACCTAATAGGCATCCAAAACCAAAGGTGTCAAACAAATGATTATGTCGTTATATACTAACTTATGAGAGAGAGAGAGAGAGAGAGAAAGCAATGTTGTTTCAACATGCCCATCCAGTCCTTAATGTGTTCATCATACAAACTAAATTGATCAATGGCAGAAAATCATTTCAAGTAACCACCCCTAGGAGTTCCTGTTCCTTGCCATCAATTAAAAAGGAATAGGTTTAAGGTGAAGTAAACCTAAGAGATCAAGAGGAGAGTTCTCAGTCTTACACAAATATATTGTTTGATCAGTTTAACTGCTATCACATTAAATCCAAGATACTTCAGTTGAATATTATTTCAAAGCATCATTTTGTTTCCAGATGAATCCCTGAGATGTTTGTATTGGCAGATACTATTTAACATATATCCACAATGATGTTTTAGTGTAGTGGCAATGGTAGGGTAGTGACAGCAACAGTGAGAACAACAGTGATTACTTTTTTTTTTTTGGATAAGTAAGAATTCATTAAAAGTGATTACAAATAAACAATTGTATGAAACAGATAATGAAATGGCAAGGTTTTAGGATGAGGTTCTGCAAATGCACCATCAACATTCAAAAATAGTATAAGCATAAATGCATGGGCAAAAATTAGGTAGTTAATGGTCTTTCTTTAGTCAATCTTTGTTCGCCGGGTTGTCCCAACCCATGCCAAGGGGTGAACACAAGCAAAAGAAATATATAAAGCAAGGATTGCAGACTCTACTAAAGATTTTTTTTTTGGATAGGGATTGGCCTTTTGAATTTCTAGATTTTCATGAACCGGTCACTACTAAAGATTAGAAAGCCTAATTAGGAACATTGGGCATGTGATAAAAACAATTCTGTACTGGGTAGCTATACTCTTCCTATTCTTCTACATTATATAGATGGAGAAGTACCTACTAACCTAGTTGTTGGGACACGATTACATTTACCATATATATATATATATATATATATATAGCTTCCATCCAAAAAAAAGGATGGGGGAGGGGGGGAGGGGGAGGGGGAGGGGGAGGGGGGTTGTGGGGGGCGCGCATAATTTAGTTGTTCTTATGCACATTTTATTGTTAGTGCCCAAAAGAGTTGCAGATGCAAGTGGGGGGTGCAACATTGACAAGGGTCTAAAATGAAGACATGTCCAACATATCATGGAAGTAGAATTTACTATAATAGAGCAAGGAATATTTGTCTAACAAAAACTGTAAAAGGATAATAATTAATTAATTAATTAATTAAAAAAGAACATTAACAAAGCTAAATAGACCCTTGCGTAATTTCAGTATGGCTAAATAACTAAATAAACAGATGAAAATTAAGTAAAGAATAATATCTAAGTTATCCATCTTATGGGAAAAAAAATTTAAGAATAAAGAGGGAAGAAATAAAAGAATGTAAAGAAAAAATTTAGCCTATTTTACACAATTCACTGGCATCTAAATAATCTTATGGCCTACAAATAAGGTCAATACATTTAGATGTCAATCAAAATATCAACAACTTGCACATGATTTACTAAAATTGATATAAACCAATTCTGAATCCATCTCACTCCAAAAATAACCCTATTTGCAAGAAGGGAAAGACTGACAATGCCACATGTAATTTTTGTCCTGGATTTACTCTATTACATATGAGAACTAAGTAGTCAATTCCCAAAATGATCAACTTTTCACACCAGGTAGAGGTCCCAAGGTTCTAGGCATAGAATTGCACCACACTTTTCAAGATGAGACATGCATCTGACTTTTATATTATTTAGCATAGTTAAACATGGATATGTGTTACATGAATTAAAAAAAAAAAAAAAAAAATTATAGGGGCGACTAAAAGGATTTTACAGGATTTTTACCTTGTTTAAGGAATAAATATATTAATTTTCAAACACTACTATGACTTTTAATTCAAAATTTAAAATTATATACACATTAGGTAGGGAGCTGTTCCTCATGTGATCGGATAAAGAAAAGGAAAAAAATGAGGCGGGCGAGCTCGGAGGAAGAAGATTTGAACCTGGCCAAGGTTAGGGATGGAGTCAAGATTACAAGACCACCCTGACCAACTTTGAAAAAAAAATGACACGAAAATGATGACATGGATATGACAAGGATATGACACAAACATGGACAAATCAAAACAGCAGATACTTAAAAAGCAAAATATGAACACGTTGGGGACACAATAGTGAAGAAATGTAATATAAAACTATGTTATATTATATATATATATATATATATATATATATATATATAAACATTATATTATAATAAGCAAATCTAATATATTATGAATATAATACGAAATTTTTAACAACTAATTCTAACAATCAATAATTACCACTTTTACAAGGACAAAGACATAGTAAGGACAAAACTCATATATGAACACGTATGTATGCACTTATATAGGCATGTGCACGTCTACGTACACAAAGAATTGCGAAGAGTACTCTACCCCCATGGTATTTATTTGACAATACATTCATATATCTTCTGTTTTTTATAAATATGGTCAACTCTCTATAGATTCCATATAAGCTTTCAAAACTGTCTTCTTTTCCTACAAATGTACTTTATTCCATAATAAAAGAGAGTTGTTTCCAATGTCAAAGGTCCATAGATGACGTATTGAGAAGTGTGGGCACGACTCCTCACAAGTATTCGTACTTCTTAGACCTTTTGTGTAAACCCCTTCAGGTTTCTTGTAATCAGCTCTGCAAATAACTGAGAAGCGTGAGCACAACTCCTCATAAGTATTCGTACTTCTTAGACCTTTTGTATATAAACTTGTAATCAGCTGCCACAAACAACATCATCCATAGTCTTATTAGTCTACACCTCTATCTCTCTCTCTCTCCAATTTGAGATATTTTTAGTTCCTGATATTAATATTAATCATCATCGGTCAAGAAGTTCCTCAAACTGTTGCGCCTTTCTCTTGATCTCAATAAAACAAACAACATGGAGAAGAAAATCTAACCGTTGACGAGATAGTCAAGGTGCATGGATGAGAGTTTTCAAGATACAATCTGGTTCCAGGATGGGTTGAGGTCCCATCCAATAACAGACCCATAGCCATCCCCAAGATTAAAAATTAGCCAAGTCACCAAATCATTGGGAAAGATTTACTCTGTCTACCCAACTGATTAATTAATTCTTTATAGCACACTTTTTTTTCTTTTCTTTTTTTTTTTTTTGGTCAAATAAGCCAACAGTCATTGGCGTTTTCCAAAAACATGAGATAAATACTATTTTTTTTGTCCTTTTTCTTTTTTCAGAGCAGGCTTTTTCTAACTTCCAAAGTTCCAACTAAAAAGATGAAACGATTTTTCAATATCTCAATTGAAGTAATGAGCTTGATTCCGCTGAACCTAGCATCTCCAGCAGAATAGTACTTTTTTTTTTTGGCATTATTTTCTAATTTGTTGGCAACCAAGAGTCGACTATGTCATCAAACAGAAGTTCTATCATAAAAAAATATCAAAATTTTGGTTGGACCATTATAGAGGGGAAGAAAGATATTTCAGAAAAACAAAAAGATAAATTAAACTTGCTCAATTATAACTATTTAAGGACGGTCTAAATTAGGACATTTTTTGACAAAATTAATGCGACAAGTTAGCTAACATCACCCTTCAGGTGCCCCACATAGATTAATCATGAATTCTACCATAATTCATAGATACCATAATGAAGGTCTCAATTTAACACAAATAAAGTTAACCATGAGGGAAAGAGGGAGTACAATAAACCTTACAAAATTTCTGTTCCATATCTAATCTAAAAACCATATTGACTATTATCCAATCCCAAAAATAGAAGTCCAAATTTTTTTTACGAGAATTGAAAATTTAAGAGTTTTCTTCATGCAATAGAGCACTAATCTCAACAATTATGAAATTTCTATATCGTCAGTCAAGCGTCAAGATAACTCATGCATTAATATCATATTATTAGTGGTTTCATGGCTTAAATACTTTGCTTGTCCACTAATCCTTAGTGAAAGAAAACATTGTCGCCACTGAAAGAGATCCTGCAAGAAACATAAGAATCACAAGTGCTACCTGCTGCAAGAGTTCCCGGTATGTCAGAGCTTCTATTAACTCTTGCTTGTGTTTCCTCCGGAGCTCCCTAATTTCTTCTTCAAGTTGGTTCACACGACCTTCATTGGTGTCAGCTTCCTCCTTTGCTGCAAGATATTCCTGCCTATTTTCTGCTGCTCTCTGTCTCTCTTTTTCAAGGGACCTACTTAGCTGTGTCTGCTCGGCTCTAAGACATGAAATCTGCAACATCTCGCTGGCATAAGCTAATGACTAAAAAAGAGCTCTATTGGTAGCACCAAATACAGCCCGAGGAAATAGAACAACCTGAGCGTCAAGAACATTTATTCGGGACAAGGTTTGAGATAAGCGTTCATTTACAGATCGCTCTGTTTCCTCCGCCGCAGCAGCTTTGGCCTCCGCTTCCTGAAGATTCAAATTTTAGATCACGTGGACAACTAAAATCTAAAAATCATAGGTATTAGACTATTCCTAGACACCTGAAGTCGTGAGTTTAGGGATCTCTCAACAGCAGCCCAAGCTTCTGCCCTTCTGGCAATTGTCTCCTGTTACCAGTAGAGGAAGAAGTCAGCCAGCACATGCCAAAAATAGATAAATTAACCAGTATCTTGCATATATATCATAATCTTCAAAGGCACGTATGTAAATGTCATATACAGATCAACCTGCATGGCTTCAATCTGCCTTAAAAGAGGCCTAGTAGAATCAGGAACTTGTGTTATCAACTCCTCACATCTACGCTCACTTGCCTGGACACCAATCATAACCAAAATGCATTGTCTTGAAAGCCATTGATAACAATAGAAGACATATAATAAAATAAAATTTACTAAAAGAAATTTGAACTTTTAGTTGATACCCAACAAGAGTAAAAACAACATACTTGATATCGTTTTTGAAGATCCTCAATGTCTCTACGAAGCATATCTTCTCTAAAAACTGCCTGCAACAACAAAAGAAATTTCAAAAAATATTTATATAAAAAGAAAACAAAAACAAACAAAAGAACGAACAAAAACACTTAATAGTTTTTGGCATGTCCACTTGATGAAACTTGCAAAATCAATTTCCAAACAAGAACCTGCTGCTCCTTTCTACTTAGAGTTTGCCTCAATTCTTCAAGTGTCTGGACAAGCATAGCTTCACGTTCCTCAGCCTCTCTTAGACGACTCTCGAGTTCAGTTTTTGCTTCATTGCTTGCCCGTGCCTCAGCTAACGCTTCAGCTTCCTTGGCTGCATTCAAAGAATTTGTGTAGTATTCCTTCTGCGCAGCAATTTCTGCTTGGTGTTTCTCTATTGTTTCTTGCAGCAGCTTCTCAGTGGCTGCCTTATCCCTCTTTATACTCTCTACTTTATTCTCTTCTACCTGGATATGTTACCAAAAAAGGCCATACCACTAAATAAATTTAAAAAGAAAAAAAAAAAGATCATTCAGAGCATTGAGACGAGCAAACCAGATATTCAACAAATATGAAGACATGTAGAACAATAAAAGTAAATTTACAGAATTAGGTAGCATTATTTTCGGAGTATAGTGGACCAACGATATACTGTGATAAAGAATGAGATGCGAATAAAATTAACAATTCAAGTTGAAGGCATTTCCCCCATTAATCGAGGGTGTGGGAAGGGGTGGAATATATTCAAAACTAATCTTTTGGCATTATTTGCTTAAAGTGACTATGGTAGTATTAGAACGTAGTGTTAGCAAATTTCATAAAAGAAAAAAAGTTGGAGTCTGTACTTTTATTTTTTGCATTTGATTAGTTTTTTAATAGTTAGTTAGTGATGATAAATATATTTTTTTTATCATTAAATTTGTTAGTGATGAAATATATGCCCAAGAACAAATTTAGGAAAATACATCAAAGGACAAAAAGATAAAATCACCTCTTAAATACCTAACTCACCAATTAGGGTTCATAATCATGCATTCTTATCATGAAATATAATATATATTACTTAATATATGTGACTAATATATACCATATTATATGTTAAATGCATCATATAAATCAAATATTATATATAATATATTATTTTACACATAATGTATATAATATGTGTGTGTGTGTGTGTGTGTGTGTGTGTGTATATATATATGTTTTTTGACAAGTACTTATCAAAAATATATATATATATATATATATACTTGTCAAATATATATAGACAAGTATATATATATATATATATATATATATATATATATTTTATAAGTATATATATATTATTATTTTAATACATAATGTACATACTATATTAAATATTTTATGACGTGAGATAATATAATATAATACAATATTTTTTTTTCTTTTTTCCCATCTAAAGGATTATTCTATTTTGTTGTCTATATTTTTATACATGTTGAGGATGTTCTTATAATAATATATTTGATTTTCTGTTGGAATAGAATGCCCATTTCTTGAAGAGGCAACCAACTTTTTGTTGATATAGTCATCTCAAGAAATGGCCACCAAATATTGGGAAGGGAATGAAAAGATAGAGTGGGAATTTTACTCCACTGTACCAATAGTAGCCCTCAGGTTTTCAATGAAAACAATTTTCAAGCTTCACATTTGGATGTTTAGTTGGGTAGCATACAGAACCTTCTATTTTGTTCCTGTGACTTGTATTTTTAATCTCAACCTAACTGTTTCCCATTTCATAGCATGTTTTCCTCTTTTCTCTAGAATTTAAAAGTGTTCCCATAAAAAATCGGATTACATGACCAGAACTTTTGATGAAATCTTGAAAAGCAAAAGGAGACGACAGATAAAGAAAAACTGAGGGACTAAAACAGAAGTTTGCCTCTACCAAATACACAAAGAAATACTACAGGGACGCAACTCAATGAAAAATAATATAAATTAGATGTCTCCCAATTTTCATGTGAATAAACTTGTATCTTACATGGTATTGTTATGTCTAAAATAAACCAAATACGTATTATCAAATCCATATCCACTGCAATATACTAATGTCGAAGAAAGAATATGATCAACCAAAAAGACAATGTACTGAAAGAATACCTTGAGAATTCAATTACCTGTAGTTTTGTAACTAATCCTTTCTTCTCTTCTTCAAACTCTCTAATCTATATTTAACGACAGAAAAAAGTCTTGTTCAGATTAATGAAGGCACAAAATCCAACAATATTAGCTTTCAACTGATGAGATACTCAGTAGACAAAGTTTTATTTCAGTAAGGAACTCAGTAAACAAGGTTGTGTACCTGCGCCCTTAATTTTCTAATCTGAGATTCTTGAGCAGCTTGCTTTTTTGAAAGCTCTTCACCTGGAATGAATAGTGAATTTCTTCAAACATGAACGCATCTAAAGGACTGCCTTATTACTCTTCATAAAAAAAAGACGTGAACATGTCTGTAAGGAGTTGAAGTCAAGATTTTAATTTTCTCAAGGGGGGAAGAAAAGACACTTTGGCCAGTAGGATTCCATGCTTCAAGTTTGCTGAATGTCGGAATGACAACCATCAATCTCTTAACTAATAAAAGTTATTTTGTTAGTTACTACTTACTACATCTATAAAGTGGGGCAGAATTTTCCACCTGCCACAAGAACTTCAAATCACATGTACGTATAATGTTGATCCTACACAGAGAGAAGAGGACACACCCATTTGCCAACCCCCTAAACAGCCTGGAGAAATCAGTATAAAATTAGACACTATCTAGTGTTAGACATTCTTTAGAGGATGTTATTGTTAATGTCTCAAGGCTCAAACCTAATTGATGCCCCCTTTACCCTATAAACAAAGAGTGAGTTTATGCACTATAAAACAGCATATAAACTATAAAATATACAAGAACCACCTTTAAGACATTCAAACCGCACCTTCAGCCATAACTTGATTGATTATTTCGTCTTTTTCCTTCAAAAGAGCAGCAGCATCACTTTTCTTATTATGCTCTCTACGTAGTGTATCCCTTTCTTTAGTGAGAGCATAAACCTGGAATCATAGATGCCAAAAAACTATTAAACAATAACAATAGTACAATGGTAACAACAATATGGTCAGTGCATTTGCAAGTTCTCAAGGCACAAAGACAAAAACTATGCAACCTAGATAATAACCTAGTCAATACCATTTCCAAAACCTGTTAATGATGATGCACCCACACATTAGTTGAATGAATTCATATATAATAATATATTTCAGTGAGTTCATATAAGAATATATTTTTTTGACAATCTTGGTTCATAGAAGGCACATTGTAAAGGAAGATAGCACAAACTACCAAAATTACATAAATGAAGTTAAATCAGAAGAAATGTCTATCAATAAACTAGCACATATATATTTTTTCATGATTAAAATAACACATATTTATTTATTGACAAGAGGTTTGTTATATTAAAGGTTCAGGAAGTGAATTTTGTCAGCATAGGTCCAACATACATTTAAGGTGAAACTGAAAAGTACTTGAATAATTGACAAATGCTTTGTCAGGAAAGTGAGCATGAAATACAATTTTAAACCATCATGCATCATTTTAGTCATGATTGTGAAGAAGTGAATGGTCACATGCAAAACCTTCAATAGCACAAAGTTTCGATATATTCAAGGAATGCTTCTTAGCCAACATTTTTTTTTATCAACCTTCTAAAGTAATTGTCTCCATGAAGGAAAACAGAGCCTCATCATAAGGTCTTCTCCAATCCAAATAATAATTTGACAATTAGATCAGGCCACACATCGAGTATGACAGAGCAATTCTTATGGCCACGGATGAGGATGTCCCTTGTAACTATAAAGACAACCCTTACAAAAAAGGCACTGACAAATCAAAGACACCCCTTATTTCAATTATATCGAAGCCATGTTGCAATTGTGCATGGACTTCTGCTGAAACTCGACAGGCTTTCCAGCCTCCTTATCAAGAAAAGTGCTGGTTATATCAGCACCTTCTTATTTTTAACACCAAATGTCAACCGCAAGATTTTTGAATAAAGAATATATCATATCAAAAATAGAAAATATAAAGCAAATATGCATAATTCAAAAGCCTTACTCATCATTCAAGAACAAACTATTCATCATTGAATCATTAACTTACTTTATTAAGTGAAAAAAGAGAAGAACTTGAGCACAAATAGAATCAAGAGATGATAGAAGAAGAATGCACCTTTCTTTCAAGAGCTGATACCCTTTGATGGTACTCCTCTCGGAGCGATTCAACTTCTGCATCATTGGATTTTCTCTGTTTAAATGATTCTCAGCAGTTAAACAAGTGATTACTGAGAGAAAGAGAGAGAGAGAGAGAGAGAGAGAGAGAGAAGGGGGGGGGGGGGGGGGGGGGGGGGAGATTTGGATTGCTAAACCCTGTTAAGTTCAGATATACCAACAATGAAGCTATAGAAGGACGTATATGAAAGGGAATTTCTTTTTTTTTTAAGGATCCCACGTCTATAGTTGTAAGGTTGTACAATTTCATCCAAAATGAACACTACAATAAAAGACAGCCAAAGGAAACAAGAAAATGAAATTTTCACAAAATGGCACAACATTAAAGCATCACAGTATCAGAAGCAAAAACCATGAAATTTAAAGAGTTCACTTAGACATTTAAAGGAGATATTCTTTAATCACAGCAATAAACGCTTTATTGAATCATCCAAACCAACAAAAAATATGGTTAATACATAGGGCACATAAAAAATATAGCCCCCAAAAAATAAAAATACTGTGAATTTAATACTGCTTTACATGGACAAAATGCGAAAAACTAAATGAATTATAATCTCTGAAAGGGTGAGATATTAATGCAGCAAGACGCAGCTTTGAGTGCTTAAAGATTGCCTATAAGAAGAACAAGGTACTCAAGAAGTATATGCATCACATACTAAGGCCTGCCCAAGATCTCATCATATTGTGCGCACACAAACAAACATGTATCCAGAGACACAATTAAAATCACATCTGAAGAGATGAATACCGATCTGTTTTCTTTCCTATTTTTCTTTGGCATGTACCTAAATCAACAAATTCTTTATTATACTTGATGATTTCTAATATTTGAAAAGAATTTTAAGATCAAAATCAATTTTTTAATAAAGAATGTGAAATTGCAACCACTTGGCACAATGTGAAAAACACAAAAGGCTCTTTTTTCACTGCTAAACAAACAACAAGATTAACTAAATTAAATAAATGTAACACCTTGTTGTATTTAGTAGCCTTAAGTAAACTATTGAAATCTTGTGACAAACAATCTAAAAGCATGTAGCAAGTAAAGTAGTAAATTTACAAAAGGGTAAACCCAATGCACGAAGCTCCCGCCATTGCGGGGTTTTGGGAGGGTCAGATGTATGCAGCCTTACCTCCGCATGCGGAGAGGCTTTTCCAAGTTTTGCACCCGTGACCTCCAGGTCACAATGGAGCAAACTTACCATTGCGCCGACGCTCGCCCTCAACTCCAAGTGAAGTTGTAAAATTACAACTCCATGTGAAAAAATCGTAGTGACATAACTACATCCTTCATTTATCAAGAAATGACTAGCAAATAAGACAATCATGAAAATACAAAATGCCAAAGCAAGCATAACTAAAATATTTAGCTTTGTCAAGGGAAGGCATGGATTAGGTGCATGCAACTACCACTATTGTACTAGAATTCTTTCTCATTTGTTATCATTACATTTCATAGACAAATGTAGTGGAATGACTATATCAACCTTGTGAACATTTCCTAAGAAATGGGATGGACATGATCCAAGTAATGGCACCGTTATACAAATTCCTTTGTCTAAATCGCTGTCTTTCTATATAGACAATCACATATCTAATCAGCTTCTCTACAGATGCAAATGAGCAATCCAAATTGAGTTTCGTGTTGTTCAAATTCGACTTGGTTATATTTAAAATTGGTCAAGCCTGGCTCAAACTTGTAAACAAGCTAGGAAATCTATATTCAAGTTTCACTCGGTCACAATTCTCATGACAGAGTGACTGTTTGACCTTTGCTCGGTACAGCCTAATGAGTACAAAAATGTTCTTATTATTCCAACGTCATTGTTTGTTTCGTGAGAATTAAAAATAAGCAATACAAAGATGTGACATTGTAAAGTAGACTGATTATGCCTTTGCAGGGCTTTTGTCATTTTATTAGAAGATTTTCAAGAACAAAAGACCGCTGAAGATTTACATAGATACACATGCGAACATAGAAAAGACATTTCCCCATTATTAATGCACCGTTTGGTTGGAGATGTAAACTTGAATGTAAAGATGAGGCATCCCTAGGGAATGGATGGTGTTCATCCCTCCTTTTGTTTGGTTGGATGGAAGGAGAGTAAACAGATGCTATTATTATTTTACTAATGTACCCTTAAATATACAAATTAAAATATCAAAATGAGGGTAAGGATGTCTTTTCAAATTTACCTAACTCACTCTTTATTTTCTCTCCTCTCTTCCTCCCACTTCTGGATGACCCAAAATGGTGGGTCACGAGGGATGGCTCATCCCTCCATCCTTCCCTTCTGTCAACTCTCCCTCCTACCAAACGATGGAGCCTTGTTCCTCTCCTCCTCTCTTCCCACCTTCCCTCATCCTTCCCTCCTACCAAACAAAGCATAAAAGATGGTATGGGACAAGCACCATAGAAGATAAAAATAATTACATGTTTGCCACCAAAACTCATTGTTTACAACCCTACATAAGCCAATCTCAAGCATGCTCGGGCCCAGCTCAGCTTGACTCTCTATTGAAATGAGCTTCAAGTTGAGGTAGAGTTTGGCCCATTTGGCAGATGAAATAACTTGGATGAGTTTCTAAATGGTGCAAGCCCGAGCTATTCTCCTCCATTCATAGCCCTCTGTGCCTCTAGAGCTTCAACTTAATTCCATGCTGCAAAGTGCTCGGAGGAAATGTTAAATTCCACTCTCTCAAAAATACCAAAAACCCCTTCTGCTGCAGATATATTGTACAGAACATAATAAAACCTGCTTCTAAAACCTCTTATGCATTTAATATTTGTTTCATACCTTAAACTCCCAAAAGTTCTAGCCACAAATTATTAAAATATATGTCTAAAAGACTTCATAAATAATCAAACTAGGTAATATGCTTCACAGGAGATGGAAGTTTAAGGATATTCCCTGCATGGAGAAAAGTAACATAGATCATCCCGCAACATATAGCTTCTCAAGTACGGCTAACTTGAACAATTAGACAAGTTCCCTAGGGTTAAATGTATCCACAGATCATCTTAGGCATAGATACATAATTAGCTTCTTCTTTTTCCCAGACTGCCAGTTGCAAGAGTTCAAAGTGTCAAATCATGCATAGATACTTATTTTGAGTTTATATAGCATCATTATCTTGCATCTTCTTCTCAAGTGACGCCAACAACTACTGTAATCATGGAAGTTACTTGTTATTGCCTCTTGATAATGTGTTTCAGTGTTTCACAACCGACTAAACTGTACGGTAATGATATGAAACCACCTCACTTATGACAGATATAACTTTAAAAAGAGGATAATATTGCACTGGACAATGTCAAGTCATCCTGTAAATCAATTGGAAAACATGAGGGTACCTAATTTTGGAATAAAGTAGATAAACAAAATGTCTAAGGCAGCCTACATTCCTTTTTATTCTGCTACCAACTAATATATATTAAAGCCACTAACAATCAGACTAGCCACCATCATCTCTACATTGACAGTCTCATCAACAACCACTATCATTACAATATTTCTGGCTGTTTCAATAGCACTGTTGCCAATGTTAGCAAAGAGGCTGTCAGCAAGGAAGGAGTCAATCATTTTATTTTCCTTTTATATACATGTCTTTCAATAATCATATAGGTGGCCCTCTCAAAACATCTTTTAGTTTTTTAGAAAATCATCATTTAGTAACATAAAATGACATCCCCACTCCATACGTTTTTCTTTCAGAAAAAAGAAAATGACACAATTATCCTTTGAAAGCAATCACATAATTCACATTCCACAATTATCTCAAAAGCTACTATTACACTCAAATTTAAGGGATTATTGCGTCATATTTCTTTTATCAAAATAATAATAATAATAATAAAATAAAAAATCAAGTGGATAAAAAACTAACTTACCCAAAAAAACAAAAACACAAAAGTAAAGAAGTATAATGCGTATCACAACACTTTAGCGCCCAAAATTAAAAGTAATTCCATGTAAGTGGAAATGCAACGATTTATATAAAATCATTGGTGACTTTAATACTTTACAGTGAACATATACAACAATTACTTCTAATTTGGTTACTAAATTATAAGATTCCCTTGATCTTTGGCATGATAATGATCTTTGGACCTCTAGCCTAAATATTACAAATTACAAGCTCACTCTAGCCCATAGTCATTTAAATCTCATGATGATCCAACTCCAGTATTAACCCCTAAAATAACAAAAATTAGGGCATTTTTTACATAAGTTGTGAAAAAAAATAGTTAGTTGACTATTTTGTGAGTCGATGGATGGGATATTGGTGTATGAAGACACTTGAAACCATATCATGTAACATGGTGTTATATACGATGGTATTTTATTTAAGCTGTAGTTCATAACTTTTTTCACGCTCCCCCTCCTTCCCAAAAGAGGCCCTTCCATTGAGTGGGCTTTGCACTTATATTCTTATTTATGATTATTCTGTTATTCAAAGTAATATAAAGATAAAAAAAAAAAATTAAAATTAAAAATATAAGTCATTCAGCCTTTTGTACAAAGAATTCAATGAAGAGGATTAGACAAAAGGAAATTAAATTGCTCAAATAATAAATATAAAAGCATTAAAAAAGAGAACAGTGAAAACAAATGACAATCAGACAAGAAGTACGCCAAAACTGTTTTAAATATATTTGTGAATTGTGAGCCATGACAACATATTGATCCATGGAACCCCAAAATATTAAATAAGGTACAAAAGGTTAAAACCAAGCTTACCCTCAAATCCTCAGTTACACCCTTCAGCTGCTCATTTTCATTCATCAACTTTGCAATTTCATCAGCTTTTGCCTTTAAAAAAACCAAATGATTAGATTTCAAGACATCTAGAAATTCAGTAAAGAATATTAATGTTTTAATGTAGAAAGTCTCCTCAGGATTCAGAAATGAGGCATAAAACAAGGTAATAAAATCCAAAACATGCAGCTATTCAGGTAAAAAGAGATGCAGACCTCCTGCTCTCAAGCTTTAGTCATTTAAATAACTTAAGATAAATTAATTTATCAGCAACTGTATAGCACTACAAAATATCATTTGCACAAAGTGGTTGCTCTCAAGATTCAAACCAGTGTTCTCAAAACTGAAGGAGAGGCACACTTAACAGAAATCTACGTACAAGTTGATTATATATTTCACATTTAGGTTGTCTTCCATACAACTATAAAAATAATTTTTTTCTTCTTTTTTTAACTTTTTTTGGAGGAAGTAATAGCATAAAAACCAAAAAACATAACTACGATTTTCTTAAGAAAAACATGTTTCAAGTTCCATTATGATATAATTGTGATTCTTTAACAAGAAAAACAATTCTCTTACAAGCTTCTGAGTAAGAGCCACAGAATCACAGTTCCAGAATAGGACATGAAGATCTGCACAACATAGCAAGAACATGTAATCTGTATATCTTTATGATAGAACCACAAGGTAAGGCAACATAAACTTCTAGGATCCGAGCCCATCCACTTCACCTAATCCAAGGTTGTTCAAACCCATGTGACTCGAGAAATAAGGTGATCGGCTCAATAATCTTTAATTTTTTAAAGTCATTTTTAGCTACTTCATCCCAAGAAAGTTTTGGTCAGCCTCTTTGTCACTTACTTTCTAGGCAAACAACATTTCCTCTTCTAACTGGAGCATCTTCTGGGGTACGTTCTATATGACAATACCACCTGAGTCTACTTTCTTGAATTTTCTCATTAATAGGCGTTATGCCTAGTTTTTCCCTCACACCTTAATTATTAATATTAACTCTTACAGTTACTCCTATCATCCATCGTAGCATCCTCATTTCCGCTACATGAATGCGTTGTTCTTATTTCTTTTTCAACGCCCAACACTATGCGCTATACAATATAGTGGCCTAACAACAATCTTTTACAATTTTCCTTTTAATTTATTTGATATGTGTTTGACTTGTCGCATAGGATACAGGTAGCTTGCCTCCCATTCTACTCCCTATATCACCTTCCATTTCCCCATCTTTTTTTTTTTTTTTTTTTTGATAAGTAAAAGTGTATTAGAAAGCGTACAAAAGGGGAACGTGTCCCAAGAGCTATACAAATACCGAAACCAAATAGGGAGTTCTATGGACCCAAAGAACCCAAAAAGTCCACGATTTCATCTAAAGATATACAATTTCTCCCCATCACCCAACTAAAAAGAGAACAAATAATAGAAAACTTCAACGCCAATGGAGGATTCCTCCCCATCAAAAGATCTTCTATTCTGCTCTTTCCAAAGACTCCACCAAACACAAAGGGGGGTCACCCTCCAAGAGTCACGAGCATGAACCCCCACCCTGTGGCCCCTCCAAATGTCAATCAAATCCCTTAAAGTCCAAGGCATAACCCATTGGACGCCAAGCAGACCAAACATAAGACTCCAGCAGTCATTAGCCACGGGACAATACAAAAGAAGGTGTTCCACGGACTCTCCATCATTCTTACACAGACAACACCAATTAACTATGATTTGTCTTCTCTTTCTCAAATTGTCCAGAGTCAAAATCTTGCCCCAAACTGCAGTCTAAACAAAAAAAGCCACCCTAAGAGGAGCCTTTGAATCATTTCTCCATCTTCTTGTAATATTGACACTACATAACAAAAATAGTTATTTTGAGTAACTCTTTGGTCTTGAAGTATATTTTTATTGTTATCTTTTGGTGTTTCCTCGGTATTCTTGCTAAATGGTTGAACCCCACAGTCCTTTCAATCTTTCTAGAGGTTTGAGGTGGAGTGACGGAAGATCTTTTGAGGACTCTATTTCAACTCATTCTACAAGGTGCATCTTGGTTCAGCTCTTAATTTTGGTTTACTGGCTTTGTCCACTGCATGAGTACTAAAGGATCATCTAATTTTGTCTCTAACAAAATCACCTTATTATCTCAGCAGTTTGACAATCTAAGAACCATGGCCATATTAAATGTTCAATTATTAAAAGCATTTTCAGGGCTTTTAATAAAATCACCATATTAAATGTTCAATTATTAAAAGCATTTATCCTGATTACATTCATTTTCATTTCAGTTATGTAGGGACTAAAAATTTGCATCCAGAAGATCTCTTGAGGCCTCTATTTCAACTCATTCTACAAGGTGCATCTTGGTTCAGTTCTTAATTTTGGGTTACTGGCTTTGTACACTGCATGTGTACTAAAGTATCATCTACTTTTGTCTCTAACAAAATCATCTTATTATCTCAGCAGATTGACAATCTAAGAACCATAGCCATATTTAAATGTTCAATTATTAAAAGCATTTTCAGTGCTCAGTTTTTTAATTTTTTTTTTTTTTTTTTTTGATAAGTAAATTGTATTAAAAGCGTTCAGAAGGGGAACGCGTCCCAAACTATACAAAGACAAAACGGAGCCTATGAACTCAAAGAGCTCATAAAATCAACAATATCCTCAAGAGAGGAGTAGTCTCTCCCCTGACCCCAACAAAACAAATTACAAATGAAAGAAAATTTTAACACCCCAATGGAGCATTCCTTTCCCTCAAAAGATCTTCCATTACGCTCTGTCCAAAAGCTCCACCAAATACAAAAAGGGGTGACAAAAACTCTGGCCTAAGCCCCCACCCATTGGCCCCTCCACATATCTAATAACTCCCGAGTTGACCAAGGCATGACCCAATGAATACCAAACAGGCCAAACATCAAACTCCAACAATCATGAGCCACAGGACAGTGCAACAAAAGATGATCCACCGACTCCCCATTAATCTTACAAAGACAACACCTATTAACAATGCTATGCCTTCGCTTCCTCAAATTGTCCAAAGTCAAAATCTTACTCCAAGCTGCAATCCACACAAAAAAGGCCACCCTAAGAGGCGCCTTAGACCTCCACACCGTCTTCCATGAGAATGAGGTACCATGAAAACCAGAAAGGCACACAAAAAAGGACCGGACCTAGAACATCCCCTGAGAAGAAGGCACCCAAATCAAGGAATCTGCCCCAGACCCCTCCACCTCCTGTCCGTAAAGGAGAGCCAAAAACCCAGTGACATCATCCAGCTCCCAATCCTGAAAAGCTCGCCGGAAACGCACATCCCAAGACAACCTTCCGCTATCAAGGCGATAGTAGTCAGCAACCATAGCATGTTTGTCAACAGCAATCCTGAAAAGCCTGGGAAACAAAAGGGCCAAAGGCCTATCATCACACCATGGATCCTCCCAAAACCGGACATTTCTTCCATCCCGAACTCTGAATCTAATATGTTTGGAAAAGGCATCCCACCCCTTACCAATGGCCCTCCACACCCCCACTCCGCTAACAGACCTGACTGGTCTAACTGACCACCCTCCTCTCTCCTCCCCAAAGCGACATGAGATAACCCTTCTCCATAATCTGTGTCTTTCCTTACCAAATCTCCAAAGCCACTTACCAAGAAGAGCACAATTGAAAGGGGCCAATCTCCTAATTCCAAGCCCTCCCAACCGAATAGGCCTGCAAACCTATTCCCATTTGACAAGATGATACTTGAACTCTTCTCCGCGACCCCCCCAAAAGGAAATTCCGTTGGAGCATTTCTAGTCTTCCAACAATAGAGGCTGGAATACGAAAAAGCGAAAGAAAGTACATTGGAAGGCTTGACAAAGTGCTCTTCACTAGCGTAACTTTACCGCCCTTTGACAGATATTGTTTTTTCCAACCCGCTAATCTTCTCTCGACCCGCTCAATCACCGGGTTCCAGAAAATATAGAACAGTTTATTTTGACAAATTTTTGTAACAAGGAAATTCAAAATAGGTTCAAAGATCAAAGGGCGATTCTGATTTGACACAGTGGAACATAAAATTGTTTAATAACTAAGCAGAAACTCCTATTTCAAATTAGAAAACTCCATAGCTGAAATATTCAATGAGAGTTTAATTTCATCATTAATTAAACTCATAAAGTACTTCACTTTTGTATACATGGTTTGCATTTAGAAAACCAAACCCCAAACTAGAGACAATAGCACCTTAAGTTACTAATTGGTGAGAATTTTGGGAGTATCATTTAATTTTGAAACACTCTGTTTTGGCATTTTTTCCCAAGTGTGTAAAAGAAAATTTTATTTCTCAAATCATAGGATTCAAAATCATGTGATCATAACAATATTTACAACCTTAAGAATATCTTATTTGGGCATATCACATGCTGGGTCCTGCATGATTATGTTATATGCTTATACGTTCAACTGTATGTAAGAGACCATGCATCGGGCCAGAGGTCCGGGTGCATGTCTCTCTCTCCATCAAATGATTGTAAAAATTTACTTATTAGAACAAATTAAACTATTAGAAAATTTTATATACCTGAGCTTGTCTAGCAGCTCCCTGTAGTGCAGTTTCCATCATTTTCATCTCCCTCTTCACCTTCTCCAGTTCAACCATGGAATCTGAAATGTCAGACGCATTGCTTCCTGAACTCAGACGCTGTTCTTTAGTGTCAGTTTCATAATCACTGGATTGCTGGTTCACTTCAATAGCTTTGACCATTGCATCATTTTCATGAGAAATCGGTTCAGAAACCATCTCCGAAGCCTCATCTGAACGTTGTGCATTTAGCGAGTCGCCTTTGGAATGCTCCTCAGCACTTTCAGCCTCCTTGGAAGGAGAAGAACTAGAATCAGGGAGTTCTGTCCCGATTTCTGCTTGACTATCCCTTGGTGAAACCTCAGTATGAACTGGAGAAACTTCTTCTGCAATCTCTTCTTCTTGCATCTTCTGTTCATCTGTACTCTCACGCAAATCAACAACATTATGTGATTCTTGTGGCACAAGAACACCAACCTCAACTTTGTCTACTTCAGCTGTTCCTGACTTGGCCTCCACTGACACTAAATTTTCAGAGGATCCTACTTCTGAACTCTCCTTCTGTTGGATATGGTCTAAGGAACCTGATTCCTCAACATGTTCAGCATTGGGTTCAGATAATTCAACAGGCACCTGTTGTGGATCAAATTTGGCTTCAGCAGTGTCAGCACTAACTGTAGTTGTTCCTTCTGCAAGTGCATCATTTGTTCCTTCTGCAAGTGCATCATTTTTTTCTTCTGCAAGTGCATCATTTTTTTCTTCTGCAAGTGCATCATTTGTTCCTTCTGCAGAGTCTGGAAGTGCATGAGCCTTCTTTGTGTCTACACTTGCTTCTTCAGCAGGTTTGTTTTGCTCAAGAGCGTAATTTGCTAACCTATCAGTCTCAGTGCCTTCTTTTTCCTCAGCAAAAGATGGAGGCTTCGAGGATTCAGGTATTTCAATTGATTCAACTGTATTTTCCTCACCTTTCGGCCCCATAAAGGCCATGACAGGTTCAAATAGTGTTTTCCGGTCTGTAGCTGAGGGCCATAAACCAGAAGCTGGTATTCATATATGGAGATTGTTAAAGGAAAAAGAAAGTTAGTCCAACCCATCATTTTTGAAATTTCATATAAAGAAAATGCATATGATTTTCTATCTTCAAATTTTTTTAATAGAACTAACTAAAATGGTAATTGAGTAAATGAGTTTTCTTAAAAACAACAAGAAGTAAATAAACAAAAGATTAGCAAACAGGTTAAAGTAAATGGATAGCAAGTTAGACTAGTTAGTTCATGTGCTGTTTTTAAACCCTCAAATGAGGGCACTACATTTTCTAATATCATTGCATTTAAGCACTTCACCATGATTCACAATATGCAAGGGGCTAAAAGCAAAGAAGTTGTGCAAGTGTAATTCAAATTGTTACCGCTCCATAGCATAAAATGGAAACCATACAACAAGGAAAATGCAGGGGCATGATGACAAGTATAGGCATAGGATCCTCGTGTATTTTCAAACGCCATCAGGTGTGAAATACATTCCAATTTTGCAAGATTTCCCTAGGATACTTTCTAGATACACCTTTTCACTACGTTAGTAATTTCAAGCAAGTATCCATATTGGAAAGATTATGTCGCACGAAGTTGTAAGAATATTACTTCACGTTAGAACAGTTAAGAAGAAAGACTGAAACTTTGACGAGGTAGCATTAAATGTAACTCGAATTTGGAAGTGGATAAATCAGAGAACTAAAAGATACGGTTTATAAATAAATTATTATTATTATTTAGTACGAACTTAACTAGCTATTTATAAATAAATAATTATTGTTATTATTTAGTACCGACTTAACTATCTACAGTTATAAATATTCTCAACTAATGACAAGATTTTTTTTTTTTTTTTTTTTTTTTTGTGGGGGGGTGGGGTTGTGTGTGTTCCTGCTTATGCAGGTTTTTGGAGGGAAAAATTGAATACAGACTCAACCCTTAACAATTTTTGCACAAAGTTGCAGCTCACAGACTCAAACTCATGTCAGCCTTAATGTTTACCAATTCACCAAGAAATGCCCTCTGACAACCTCAGTAATCAACGGACAAAATTATTTCATAACAAGAAGTCTTCAGTGCGAGCATTTAAATAAGTTACAAGTAACTTTGCATTAGCCCAATCCTTAGTAAACCAGGCCAGCCCAAACTAGCTAGAATCAACATGATAACATCCCATTTCTTTGCTACTCCAAATAACAAGTCTAGTCCACATTTTCAAGTTACCCATGAATCCCTGAAGGATGTGAGAAGCTGCAGAGCCAGTAATAGAACAACTTAACTAGTAATAGTATCTAATTCTAGAAACCAGTAAAAGGGCCTCCACCTTATATTCAACTTCTCAGTCAAGCACATTGCTGTTTATGTCGATTCTGATATATGTCGAGAGAGAAGAAATAATAAAGTTACTAGTTAAGGGCAACATGTTACTAGTAGCTCATTCATATTCCCAATCCAAGTTACTAGTAGCTAATTCTGGAAACAAGCAAAAGGGCCTCCACTACATTCAAGTTCTCAGTCAAGCACGTTGCTGTTTGGCACATATATAAATATATAAATTTACATCAAGAGTTTGATGTGTGTATATATACACGTATGGATTGGAAATACAGAAATACCTTCACTGTTGCCAGCATCGGTCTTCTCCTCGAAACCAAGAGCGGTATCAAAATTCTTCTCAATATTCTTGACGCTCTCACTTAGCTTATTGACGGCCCCAGCGAGATCCGGGAAGTTCCCTAAAGAGACTTTGGAACTAAACCACGCCATCTTCTAAATCCACAACTAAGCGTCCCAGATCACACGCATCAATAAACCTGTTACACAAAAGAAATTCATCATGATCAGCTGATAACAAATTCAAAACATCCAAATAAACCATTTTGGTAATTCCATCATACGAAGATCTGAATTGAAATGAAACACGCACAGACTGAGATTAGGGAAAAAAGAAAAAAAGATGGAGAGATTTCAAATATATATATATATATATATATATATATATATATATATATTCACAATCATGTATATATGTAATGTAAAGAAAGAATTGAATATGGAAGAAATTAAAAGCATGGAACCTCGTTTAGTGTTCGTCGGTCTGGAGTTCTAGATAGAGAAACAAAGAGAGATATCTTGGACGTAAATGGGGGAATTGGGAGATCGAATCGGAGATTCGAACGAGATGAAAGGTGGTTCAAGATGAAAAGAGGTCGATCTGTTTGGTTCCACCGGGATTGGTTTGTACATTGTACCCTGTGCATATATTGAGAATTAACCTTTGTTAATTAATAAATACCGATGGTAATTTTAATTTCTCCTGGATAGTTACTTTGTAACGACGTCGTACAGTCTTTGGTCCTTTAAATTTTTTCCTAAAATAAAAAATAAAAAATAAAAGGCAAAGGGAGACATAAAATAGCAACGGATAGCAAGGTAACATCTTTATGAGAGAGACCATTTTTCCGCTCCGCGCATAAGGCCTTAAAAAAAAAATTATTTTCTTATATATTTTTACTTTCTTAAAAATTTTATTTTCTTCTCAATCAATAGGACCCCAATATTTTATTTACTTTCTTATATTATTACCTTTCTAAAATTTTATTTTTCCTTAAATTATTATACCCCAACCGATGGGAGAAGGCCCCAAAAAATTTATTTCCTTGTAGAGGCCTCAAAAATTTTATTTCCTTATTAAACCTAAACCAATATTTAATAGTAGGCTAAAAGAATTAGCTCCTAATTTATATCCTTATTTAATTCTTTTTTTTTTTCCTCCTCCCCTCTCCTCATTACAGTTTTTCTTTTTTTTTTTTCCTCCACTATCTTAAGTTCTTTACACCTACTCTACTAATTATTGAGTATATATATATTGAACTGGTTATATAAATACGGAGTATTAAAAAATAATAATAATAGCAAAACTTGCATATAATAATTACTATGTAAGAAAAAAAAAAAAAAATCAATTACTAACTTTACATCTGAAAAAACAAGAAAAGTGATTATTAAACAAATATAATTAATTATTATTTAAAATTAATATGTTGTATGTTAATTAAAGCCACTTTTATATTGTTCGCCTAAGGTATTGAGCCGCCCTAGTTGTACTTGGATTGGGAATCAGAATAACGGATATTTTTAGGTGGGTGAAGTACTCATATTAGATACGTATTACATATCTATGTTTAAGTGTTCAAAATTTTAAAATATTTATTTTTATTTTAAACACGTATATGATACATCTAAAATATTTCATAACACATTTTCTAACAAATTTTGAACATTAAAATATAACTTTTCTTACAACATTAGAGTAGTATAATTGTTTAAGAAAAGTTCAAATTTTATTAAGCGATGAGTGAGGATGTTTGTGTTTATGTGTTGTGAAACGAACTCCTACGTTTATTAATGATTTACATTTAGATTCATAATAGTAGATAGAACTCGTAAAAATGTGATTTATTATTAAATAAAATATTACTAATGCATTAGATTTTTTATATGTTTGCATGAGTGTATTATAGCCGTCTAGTTGCATCAAAGGTGATTTAAGTGTGTAAGCAAGAGATTTTAGTTCATGGTTTCTTAGCGCATTTCTAGGTGATAGGATTGGTGGGCTCAAGGCCACCCCTAAAAAAATACTTTTTTTACCATAGGCAATTTTAGCCAAGTAATTAAAATATATATACATATATATATATATTAGTCTACCAAAAAAATATTTACCCCACCCCATTAACAATTTTTGGATCCACCCTTATTTGTAACTTGCAATATTTGCTCCAGGTGATAAAAGCTGAGCACTTAATACACTTGACCTTTATGATAGGATGATGGGTACGTAGTTTTTCGAGGAAGTGTGTTATTATGTTTGGAGAATACTGAATTGGATCACGATAACATCATTTTTTATGAGATGGAAATAGTAAAAAGAAGAAGAAATTTTTTTTTTTTTTTTTTAATACGTTGGAAGGAGTTTGGGTAGCCAAAAAATGGAAATTTTGAAAAAAAATTAAGAGTCTGTTTGGTTCAGTTTACTAGGAACTAAAAATCAATAAATTATAAATTGTTTGATTGACAATTTTTTTGATATAGTTTTCTAAAAATTCAATTTGAAAAATTATGTCTTTTTAGAAAACTACTTTATAATTTTCTGAAAACACTTTTATCTTTTCTTTGAATTTTTAAAAATTATTTTTTAATTGTCAAACTGTGATACCCCCGGATTTTCAGATGCGGGTTGGCCAGGCCCACGCCCAATTACCCGAGGATATCAAAACAATTAGCAATGATCGAATACAGAATAATTATAACAAAAGAAATAAATAAAATTTGCTGAAATGAAAACTAAAAGAGTAATCCAATATTTGATAAATAAAATTTCATTAATAAATAACCTTTATGCTATAACTGATCCTCCATATACAACTCGGGAATCCATCTAGTGGACCCCTATTCAAATCCCAACTGTATTCAAAAGAACTGGAAATAAAACTCAAGTCTTAACATGAAATAGAATCCTATGCCATCGGTGCAGTGAATCACTGTATCTGCTCAGCACGATCAAGCTCTACAGCTTGGACTGACGAACACCTGGAAAAAAAAATAGAAGAGTGGGTCAGGCCCACGAGCAAGTTCTAATCTAGCTGCAATCCATACAGTGACCCGATACGCAGATACACCGTAGATACCTCACAATATCTATCTAGTCCATACATATATATATCCACACTATGGGACATTCACTGAACTACAATAGGGGTCTCAACCTGAATAGAAGGCAACATGCGAAAACGCACCCAAAGGTGGGCATGAGTACCTAGACCTAACAGGGTACACCTCAACTTACTATAGCTAGCTACGCATCCACTGCATATACGCGTCCTAACCAACGAGTCTGAGACTCAAGCCCATCTCGTGGTACCATAACCATATATTTAAAGTCCATTCAAATCCATCCATAGGAACTCCAATAAATCGTTCAGCTTATTCAGCTGCACAGACTTATAAGAGATCCAGTAAGTCGTTCAGTTTATTCAACTGCACAGACTTAAATATAAAGAGAATTATGTTTTTATAATTCATACCCTTCTTTCCAAAATAGGTAGGACTGAGTATTTTGATCAGTCCGTCCCTAGTATGCCACCGTCCCATACCGGTGCGTACAATCCACAAAATCCATATAATTGATAGAACAGGTAAAACTGTTCACCAATTAAAATCCATAAGGTAGGAATTAGCATTTTGAGCTAAACCATACCTAGTATGCCACCGTCCCATACCGGTACATACAATCCTCCATATCCATGTAAATTACAACATTCAAATGATAAACAAGTAATTTACAATCCAAAGCCAAACCCAGATAATTGACAGAATTTTAATGTGAGAATTCAGCAATTAAAATCCAATACATAATTCCAAATAATTGACCAAATTTAATATAAGAATTCAGCAATTATAATCCAATATATGATTCCAAGTAAATTACAAGGCATAAATAATAAGCACGTAATTTATAGTCCAAAACCAACCATCCACATCGTTGCAGAATAGTATTTAGTATTTCAACAACTTAAAACCAAAACCATGTAAATTACAGACTATGAATGATAGTACAGCAATTTAAAATCCAAAACCAATATCCAATTAATTACAGAAGATTTTTAAATGTTTCAGCAATTTAAATCCAAACAATTAACCATATAGTTGTAGGAGATGATTTAATAAATCAACCACTAACATCCAGAGCCTGCATAGATCACATCTAACACATCAATGACCCTATAATATATTTAAAACCATTTTATAAATATATTAAATCCCACTGGAATGCCTAAAAATAAGCTTAAGTATTTAAAACTTCTTCTATCCACTAACCGTATACAATGTACATAAGTGTTATACAGTTTGATCCGTTAATTTAGAATTAACCTTAAATCAATTTAGGGTCTTAATAACACCCAAAAATTAACTATTTAATCCCTCCGTGAAGTCTCATTAAATTTCTAAAATTTAATCAAGCCATTTAGTTCCTTTCTTCTGTTAGTAGCATACACCGTTGTATATTTTTACACTGCTTCATCCTTTGTCTTAGAGACTTAAACTATGCAACAATAAGTTTAATAATACTTAGAATTAACTACTTAGATCATCTGTTAAGTCCCTACAGTTCATTAGAATCACTCAGAAGCTCAAACAGTGCTCAAAACACCAAACAGAGCCCTAGAAAACACTTTCTGGACGTAAAACATATTGGAGCCGGCTCTTGGAATGGAAGAGCCGGCTCTTCCCCTATTGGAGCCGGCTCCAATTCCCTAGGAGCCGGCTCTTGCTGAAGGGGAGCCGGCTCTTGACTTTCTAGAGCCGGCTCTCTCCCTCTTGAGAGCCTCCAGTTCATCCCTACTCCGTTTCCGTCAATCTGCTCCTTCTCCGATCAATTCCTACCCCTCTGCTTGTTTCTTAAACTGATCTAAAGGATCTAACACCCACCTGATAGCATCCCCAAGGTTTGATTATAGCAATTTAAATCAATTAACAGAAATAAACTTGTGCAAAAACTGAAACCTCATGCATGGATTACAACGAAGCAAAATGCAACAGAGATCTAAAACAGAAATAGCAACCTTCCTATGAGATTTACATAACTCCCGTAGTCTTTCCATACTTAGTTTACAGTAGTTGCAATAAAAAAAACAGAGACAAAAACTACGACAAGAACCCTCACGCTTAAAGGACATAAAACTGAACCAACTTGCATGCACTGTAACAGATATTGTAGAAATCATCACAGAAATAATTCAAAGCATACATATGATTAATTTGATGTATAACATACATGAATGATTTAGTTGTTAATTTCCTTAAAATCCTAGAGCATATCTAGGTGCACAGAACACGGCTCAAAGGGAAAGAGGAAGATAGAACTTGCCTGAATAGGTTTGCAAACAAACCCTTGTTGCCGTTGGTCTCAGTTTTTTTCAACATCCACTGAAACTTGTCTAACCTCCTAGAACCTCTGCTCTTTCCTTCTCCTTGGTTAAACCTTGGAACCCCAGTCGAAATTCTCACAAACAGCTCTGTAACTCTCTCTATTTGGCAGACTTTTCCGTGTAAAAGCTACAACAATATGTAACCCTAGGTTTAACATATACTGAGGTATTTATAATTACAAGATTAAAACCTTAATCCACAGAGCCCTAACTTCGTCGGCCCACAAAGTAACCCAGTTTAGTTACATATC